TTTCACAGAATTGTTGTTTTTCAGTATTTTGCCTTTTAATCTATATATATATATATATATATATATATATATATATATCAAACCATTCAGCAGATTTTACAAGTGATTATACAAAGCGCTGCCATCATTATTTCCCTGGTTACTGGTTACTGGATACTGAATTGGCAGATCCACCCATTATGCCACTTTTTCTGCTCCCTAGAGAGTATCCCTGTTCATTGCTGCTTGAACACACACGACTCATACATTTCAGGGGCCCCACTTATAAGCAGGCGTGTAACAGGGGTCTTGGGTGATAACCCCCCCCCACCCACCATAGAGAAAACAATACGACATAGGGCTTATTTTATTATTAATATAGGCCACACACGTGTGTTTGAAACTAAATATAAGCATTTTCATCGTGGTTAGTACGGTATTTATTACAATCATAGGCCTATTCTTTCACCATCATTACACATTGAGGCCCTTCTTTTAGGTAAAACGATCTATCTTAAATTTTCTTTCTCAAGTTTGGGAATATTATTTTTTTAAATAACTTAGAAGGCAAAGGAGGGCAAGCACAAGCTTTAACCATAACAAATGCGCGCGAAGCGCGCGAAAATTTTTGTTGTTTTTAATTCTAATTTCGTCGGAATTATCAAAACTCCCTAAATATGCAATTTTTAGAGGAAATTGGCCTACCTCAACAAGAAATGCTCTTATGTTATATATGGCCACACTCGTTTTTTTAAACAGAATATAAGCATTTTCCTTATGGCTTTATTTATTACAAACACATTCTTTCAAAATAATTACACATTGAGGCCCTTCTTTTAGGTAAAATGATCTATCTTAAATTTTCTTTCTCAAGTTTGGGACTATGTGTTATAACTTAGAAGGCAAAGGAGAACAAGCACAAGCTTTAACATTAAAATATGCGCGCGAAACGCGCGAAAAAATTTTGTTTTTTAAATTCTAATTTCGTCGGAATTGATCAAAACTCCCTAAAATGTGCAATTTTTAGAGGAAATTGGCCTACCTCAACAAGAAATGCTCTTATGTTATATATGGCCACACTTGTTTTTTTTAAACTGAATATAAGCATTTTCCTTATAGCTTTATTTATTACAAACATATTCTTTCAACATCATTACAGATTGAGGCCCTTCTTTTATGTAAAACGATCTATCTTAAATTTTTTTTCTTGAGTTTGGGACTATGTGTTATAAGTTAGAAGGCAAAGGAGAGCAAGCACGAGCTTTAACATTAAAAAATGCGCGCGAAAAATTATTTTGTTCTATGTTTTTTAAATTATAATTTCGTTGGAATTGATCAAAACTCCCTAAAATGTGCTTTCCCATCCTTCTCCTCCTTCTTCCCTCCTTTTTTTGCATTTCCGATCATACAAAAATCTCCATACATTATATATTTTTGGCCAAAAAGTGGGGGGGGGGCCCGGGCCCCCCCGGCTCCCCCGCTTCCGCTGGCCATGCATTTATATGCCATACCATCCTACAAGGTACCCATTTACTACTAGAAAGTTCAACGCCGAAGTAGTGTATAAACTCCGAAATGTTAAGAGCAATTATTCAAAAACAGATATTGGTTTTGCCAAATTTTAGGGTAAGTAATTTAAGAGAACGAAGGATCCAACCTATTAACATATTATATCCCCGCCGTAAACTTCCCACAGTAATGTTAAACATGTCGTCCGAATTTTTCTTAGTCCATGTTGAGTAAATAATATCTGCTTTGTCTTCAGAGATTCCGGTGTGCTTTTGTGCGTACGAGATATCGTCTGTTACCAATTTGTGATAGATAATTAGAGTTCAACAATGTTAAAAGATATGGACTTCTTGGTTTGTGCTGGATGGGTTTAAATCATCTGTGACAGAAATGGTGTTTTTCCATTTCTTTATTTGTGTTTTTGTGAGCCGGTCATGGTTTATCCGTTGGCGAATGGTGTTGCCTATGATTTTTGATGGGTTTAAGAGTCTACAGTTGTAAAAATTTTTCGTTATAGTTGTATAGTTTTCTTCATCAATGGTTTCTATTTGGTTCCAATTTCAAGCTTTGTAGCAATTGATTTAGTTGCATTGTTAATTTTGTGGGTGCTGCCTTATTTTCTCTTCTTTTATGATATGACGTAGTGATATTTTCGTGTATGAGTTCATCACATTACAGCTAGTTACTTTTTAGAAGTTTGTTGTTTATCAGCAGTGTTGGATGAGTTCATTTGCTTTGTTGGTGATATTTATGATCTTTGAACGTGAGGAAAGGCTTTTTAATGTTTTCCCATGATTTTGAAGTTGAGACTATAAGCTTTCCTAGCTTTTCTACCTACAACTCCACTCTGTGTGAGCATTTCAGTCATTTGTAAGAAAGTCTGTGGGGGATATATATTAAAATTACTTATTTAAGTTACCCCCTTATTTTTCACAGACTGTTATTATAGGGCGTAGATGGTGAGAGCATGAGACAAAAGGGCTAGTGGAAAAAATGATAGTTATAAAAGTGTGTTTTACCGTTTCTCAAACATGCCCCATCGATGATCCTGACGTCGTCTAAAGCAATATCTCCTGTAGTTCTACTTCCTACAATTCCTTCAAACATTATCTGGAAGGCACTCTTTGTTTCAACTGACAGTTTTCCAAGTCGCCAAATGTTTCCTTGATTGTTTCTATTTGTCCACGCAGGTGCACCAACGGTACCTTCCTTATTGACTAGGTACACATTCAATGTGTTCACTGTAGCCCCGTACATGTGGTAAAACCACTTGACGCATGTGCCATTTGTTGCAGGATATGACAGTGTCCAAAGACGAGCGGTTTGGTAGTTGTATTGCGGATATGAAGTTTCGATGTACATGTAGGAACCTGTAGGCAAAGGATAAAACAAATATTTTGGTTTAAGAGATATTGTTGTTCTATCTCTTTGTAGTTTATTTTACTTATTTCGTTTGTAGTTTTAGAAATATTTTCATTAAGAATTTACAATTTCATTTAGGAAATTTAAATTCATGTCAGCTTTTTAATACCTTGTAATGTTCCGTAGGTGTGGTCATAAGCAGGGCCAGTAGCAGATGTGCGTGTTGAGCCAGATGTTCTTATCCAATCAAAATCATCATATTCATCTTGTACAAAGTAACAGATGTGTGGATCCTCGAAACCACATTGGTTTTGTGCTGAAAAAAAAAATTCCAAGATAAAATTAATTAACTGATTTGAAATTGCATTGGTTAAAACAGTTACTGGAAACCAATGTACAATAATTCATAACTTTGTTAGAAAAACATCCTATCATAAATTTTCTAGAATTTCATAAAGAAAAAAAAAACACATTTCAAATTTTACTCATAAAGTCAAACCGGTATCCACAACACATTGTTTCATAATGTTAATGGTATATATTACCAAAAACATTTTTGTTTTGAAACTTTAAATTTTACATTACTTAATTAGCTTCTTAAAAATTGTATTACTGGTTATTGCAATTTCTCGTTTGAACTAAAGACAACACTTAAATACCTCAAGGATTTACAATTTCAATTACATTATATTTTTAATTCCATTTTACTTTAAATACCTTCTTTTCTGACTACAATAATATTATTATTTTTCCATTTTTTACAGCACATAGCTAAAGGTTTTAAGGTCAATGAACCATGTCATTGAATAATGCAAGATTACTTATGTAAAGTTTAAATGGTTAGATAATAAATTTCCTTTTGAATGTTGTCTCTATACTGTATTCTTCTTTTAATAATAATAATAATAACAATAATAATAATAATAATAATAATAATAATAATAATGTAATAAAAGTTTAAACTTTTGATCACAACACAAGTTTCCTTACCGTGAGGTTTGTCTGTGTTGTGATCAAAAGTTTGAACTTTAATAATAATAATAATAATAATAATAATAATAATAGTAATAATAATAATAACATTTATAGCGCAAATAAACAAGGTCTCTATGTGCCCAACAATATTGTAAATAAGAAACTGTACTCCAGTTAGCATCAGTTAAGTCTTGATATTTTCTGAGATCATTAGTAAAATAAATAATAGATGAAGAAGAGATATACATTATCTCAGTTGCTAACTGAAACTTAGAACTGGTGTTGACATTAATTTTTTAATATTCATTCTATTAGCCTACATTTATGCATAATATTTACAATCTTTTCAGGAACTGATCATGTTGTATACAATTTTAACCATGTTCTGCACATTAGGTTTATTATTATATTTAGCTCAATACATAATGCACATTATTTATCACTGTAAAAACTTACATATATTGCAAGTTTGTCCAACAAAACCAGGCATACACTGACAGTTCTCGATTCCGTAATCCGAGACACAGACTCCGCCATTCAAGCAGTCAATATCGCAAGTTTCTTCAATTAGAAATTAAACATTAATTTGTGACATACTCTGTTCATATTAAAATAACCTCATCGCTCATCACAATACTAATTGTATAAAATTATTATTGTTATGAAAATCGCATTTGTCTTTATATATACATTGATTGATATACATTGATTATGTAAGAGATAGATTATTGTCGGTGTTTTTGAGCCAGCTTAATACTAAGACTTTTGAAAATTGATGTAGGAATATAACAGTAGTTCTATACGTATATGTTTAAATTATATAACGCATGATATGATGACTATTTAAATACAGTTTAGAGATCAAGGAACATAATATAATGTACATACATAGAAATAATATATATTTATATGGCATATACCTGATATACCATGCCTATACCAACTATAGAAGAAGTTACAACACTCAAACCATGAAGCAGCCAAACGCTTAAAACATCATAAAAATGAAGGATGAGAAGTGCATTAAAGATTTCGAGGAAGCATTCAATCAAAAGTATGAACTAGAATTGATCAATGAAAATACATAACAGATGTGGTACCATCTGAGAGCAGTGATGTATAATTTAGCACTAGAAAGAACAATGGTTTCAAACCTATTCACCTCAGCTCGAACCTTTGATCAATGCAAAGAGGCATGCCTATACCAACTATAACAGGCCTGCAACTCGCCAGAACCTTCACCTGTAAAGAGCTTCTCGGCATTATGCTAACTTATATTGGACAAACATATGTGAAAGAATAAAGATAGCTGCTTATAACGGAGATGCAAGGAACATGTATGAGGGTATTCGAAAAGCGCTTGGACCAAGGATAGTGAAAGTATCACCATTGAAAGCCTCCGATGGATCCATGCTGATAGACAAGTTCAGTCAACTGGAAAGATTGGAAGAACACTACATGGACATTTATTCCAGGGATGCTCCAATCGACAAGAGTGCTTTAGATGAAATACCTCGCCTCGAACAAATGCATCATCTTGACTCAGAGCCTGATATTGAAGAACTCAGCAGGGCTATAGACTCCTTGTCTAACAACCAGCACCAGGGACAGATGGTATACTGTACCATCGGAACTATTGAAAGCTGCTAAAAATGCTCTGATACTACCTGTATTCAATCTACTAATACAGTGCTGGAGGACAGGAGACATTCCACAAGATATGAGAGATGCTCTTATTGTTAATATCTGTAAGAACAAAGGTGATCGATCAGACTGTAACAATTACAGAGGAATCTCACTCTTGAATATAACTGGAAAAGCAATCACAAAGGTCATAGCACAACGATTACAACATGTTGCTAAGCGCATATGCCCAGAATCCCAGTGCGGTTTTCGTGCGAAAAGATCCACTAATGACATGATATTTTCCTTGAGACAACTATAGGAGAAGTGTAGAGAACAAAGAAAACTTCTATATATTGCCTTTGTGGATCTTACAAAGGCCTTTGATATGGTGAATAGGGAAGACCTCTGGATGATTCTTGAAAAAATTGGTTGTCCTCCCAAGCTCCTTCGGTTAATTATAGGCTTTCATAGTATATGCATGGAATATAAAATCAGAACAAAATGTATCCAAGGGTTTTAACATCAGAAGCGGATGCAAGCAGGGAGACGTTCTTGCTCCTATGTTATTTGGAATGTACTTTGCTGTGATTTTACAGTATGCATTCAAAGAAGTGAGGGAGGCTGGGTTCACGCTAACCGATCGCCAAGTTGCCATGGGCGAAAACAATTTTGAATTGGCGAAACAAAAAACAACTACTTTAGCCATTTTGGCGAAAGCTTAAAAATAATAAAAATGTTTTTTAAATACTTGCTGAAAAACAATATATACAAGTAGCATTGTGAGACGTAGTGTTTCCTTCAAGGTATCAGAAGGAAGTCCTCTCTCTAGATTGGTTGAAAGATATCACCTTATTCTAATCATTTGACTATTACATCATTTTGGGGAGTTTCTATTGGTCAGATAATATAACAACTTTGGGGGTAGAACTTAACTTATATTTAGTAACGAGCTGTCTCTCAATCAAGCTTATTTTATAAATCAAATGTAAGGAGTTGACCACTTGGGCTTTTTGTCATGAATTGGCTATGGTCCTTCATATAGACTTCATATAATAGGGAGACGTTTAACAGATGCCCACTGTTAGTGAGGTAATGGGGTAGTGAGGTAAAAGTTCAGTCCAATGGTTTTATTGATTTGGCCTATATTCGTAAGTTATCTTATTAAAGTGGGCAGCGTAACAATCAGTGGCTGGATGGTAATGACTACAGTACCGACACAAAATAATACTGCATTTTTACCTGCGCGCAGGCTTCGTAGATACATCGTAGCCTGATATAAACAATCTAAGCAAGGCCGGCTACACGAAGCGAACCTACGAAGCAAAAGCATGTTGTTTATTTGTATGTGCAGACAGACTGCTGTAGCTTACTGGAATAAACAATGTATTGCTTGATAATTTTTTAATGACAAGCACAAGTTTAGACCGAAAATAATAATAAGAAAAACGTACAATTGAGTCTCCTCTTCGTCTCGCTGTCCACGAGTCGACAGGAACTTGTTTGTACTGCTGTATTATTTTTTTTTATTAATTAGCCTGGCCTAGACTAGCCTATTTTTTTATTTACAATTATTTTACCTCTTTAAAGCCCTATTCCCGGCAAAATTTCACTAAAAACTGACCTTTTTTTTTTAGAAAATATGCATTTGCATTACTCCAATTGTTAAATTATTATAAATCATGGAAAAATATTGGCATGAATTTTAGTTTTACGCAAAAGAATAAAAAAATGAGAAATACAGACTATTTCTCATAAAATATTACCATTTTCTCGACGAATTCATTGTTACTAGGCAAATTCAGAGGTTGTAGATCGCATCCACTGGAATACTCTCGCTTTTATGCATACTTTATACAGTCAATAAAGTGCGCCCTCTCTAATGAGATTAGTTTTTATCATAGAGATATAATAAGAATACTAGAGCGCTAACAGTGTGTGTGTACCATCCAAGATGGCTGCCATAGATTCAGCCAATCAAATTTTGCCTGAGCACCATCATTTTCAATGGCGCCCTCAATTTACACAGAAAGTTCAGTACAGCTAGTTACCCGTATGTTTGAAACTCGAGCGTTGCGGTGTATGGGTGTAATGTACACGATTTTAATTTTTTTAAATATTTGAAGATGCTCTACTTGCCTCTATTTGGCTACGACAGTTTAATAATTTGTCATTGTCAATACTACAGTAATTATCAATAATGAAATAATATTCAGTGAGAGGGCTTATTTATGGTAATAATATGTATACTAAGCCTGAAGGTGGCGCTTTCCTACGGCAGCCATCTTGGATGGTACACATAGACAACTCTGCATTGCTCCGCCATCTTGTCAGCACTAGTTGTTTAATAGCTCTATGGTTTTTGTACTTCACATCTCGCACAATGCGGTTGTTCGATTTAATAGGCTGAGATATGTTTGTTTAAGTGTCAAAATCTCATTTAGAATCAGTTTCTTAACAAATTTGAAATAATTCATATGAAATATTATATTTCACAAGTGTCAATACTAGCAACGGAAAATATCATGTCGGCCGTTTTTATGTGTGATAACAGAACTAAATCGAGGTAAGGCTAGGCCCAGCCTAGCAGCGTTGGATAGGCTAATGTTTTCGGCGCCTACGATATTTCTTCTCACGACCTATCGCAAAATCAAACATGAAAAAAACATTTATTTTTTGTGTGGAACACAAAAAAAATAAAATTTCATTCTTACTTTACATTTTTTTCATTCTTAGGAATGTCTAAATTCAGTTAAGCTAGCAATTCCATATTATATTTATAAATCTTTATAAAAGTATACAAAAATGGGGCTTTATCTGTTAAAAAAGATGCCCTCAATGACAATACACACACATGAAAAGGTTGTTCATCAAATAATACTTTGTAGCCTTGATTTAGTACGATAAATAATAAATATAGACACATATATATCAACACCAAAAATCCAGCATCGGACAGAGTGCGCACCAATCAGAACACAGTAAAGTGTGTTAAAGGTTAACCTCGTGGCAAATGTTGAAAAGCTGTGAGCGACAGTGAGTAAAAGACGAAGAAAATGCGGTCTAGCATGACTAGCCTTACTTCGGCAAAGTAGTGATTTCTGTAGTTCATTAGTATTGGATCGCTTAGCAGGTTCTGCTTCAAATTATGGTAAACAATAAACAACGTGATCTTTAAGTAGAAATTGTAATAATTTGTACATGATTTGTCATCAGTATTATTATTTAAAAGAAGAAAGTTCCTACTACCAGAACAATATCAGATAAAAATTCCCCGAATTGGAAAGTTAACCAGTATAAATTACTGTCTGCTGTCCTCCTCTATGGGAAAATGTAGGCCGTAGGCCTAAATGAAATCGAAATTCGAACATACTGACGGCCCACTAGGTTACCTGGCTATCGAACTAAACACAGTTTTAAAACATGATCGATTTAATAATAAGGTAGGAAATAACAAAACAATAAGTTCTAACATTGTAAATTGCAACATTGTTCACGTGCTGAAAGCTGGTAAACTACAGTATATTTCAATATTGTTTACGCATTGTTTATCAGCCCGACGATCCAGCCTACAAAGTTTGCAAAGCTAATTAAAATAACAATGACCTTCGTAGTGGTTCGTAGCTATGTTCAAAACATAACCTATGAGCAGATTATGAAAGGTTACGCGCATATACGAAGCAGTACTGTAATTCCTGTCTGTACTGTAATTTCTATGTTCACGACGGTCGGCTAGCTGTTAGCGTGACCCAAGTGCACACACAACAGCAGAACTAAAGCAGCCGACTGTCGGGTAAATAATGGCTTTCGAGCTTGGGGGTTTTTCCTTGAATGCTTGAATGATTTCAATGTCAATGTCCAGGCCGCGATTTTTTTTTTTCCGTACGAAACATTTGCATGAAACTTCACTAAGGCCATTTAAGTGCATGAGAAGTGGCTAAAACAATTTTTAACATTTTAGCCAATTTTGGCTAAACAAATATTCAATTGGCTAATTCTTTTTTTTTAGCTTTAGCCCATTGGCTATTAAAACAAAAATGAAAGTTAGAGTGAACCCAGGGAGGGTATTTACCTGCACACACGTTTAACAGGAAAACTCTTCAACCTTTCAAGATTGAAGACTGAAACCAAAATTTCTACAGTCCTTGTTAGAGAACTTGTCTCACACTCCAATAGTGGACTGCAACAACTGATCACTTGCTTCAATAACGCATGTGGAAAATTCTCCTTGATCGTCAACTTCAACACGTATAGGGAAGGCTGCGACAACATTTGGTAGACTGACTGAATGTGCCTGGACTAACAACAAATTAACCTTAGCCACAAGAATAACCATACATCAAGCATATGTGCAAAGTGTAGTACTCTAAGGAAGTGAGACATGGAACTTATATTCCAGTCAAGAGAAGAAACTAAACAACTTCCACTTCAGGTGTTTACAGTACGTCGAATCCTGAAACTGAAATGGCAAGACAAGGCCACAAATGCAGAAGTTTTGAGAAGAACAAAGTCCCAAAGTATGTTTGCAATCATCAAACAGAAAAGATTGACATGGCTTGGACATGTACAGTACATCTCTTGCCCGATAGACGGTTACCAAAAGACATCATGTATGGTGAACTGACTTCAGGCACAAGATC